GCGACAGAGGGAGGAAAGGTGGAATGAGAGAGTGAGACAGCGACAGAGGGAGGAAAGGTGGAATGAGATGATCTGATTTAATTCTGCATGTTAATTTAGGATAAGTTGCACCAACTTCAGAAACCACCACAACAAAACGTATTCTACACAAATTATTGTCACACTAGAATACATGATGAACATCTAAACTCGATTTATCTTGCAGATCTTGAAATATTGCCTAGTGGATTCAAATACATGAAAAATTAGTGAGAAATTGTCTGACAGCTCAGTTTGCAGATATGACTGCGGCATGTTAATGAGAATTGAAGAAAGGCAAACAAGGGATCTCAGCTTTAAAAAATTCATGGAAGGAAGAAAAGTCATAAATGTATAAAAAATAACTAAAATAATTTTTGGGGGTTACAAACATCATTTTTAGTGGGTTTCCTATACCTTTTAATCTCAATTGAGAGTATATGAAATTTCTGCTATCTAGGATAACAGGAAAATTTACCCTCAAATTTTAAAACGTATGTAAAATTTGTAGATTTTTCTTCTTCTTCTTCTTCTTCAGAAACCTTACATGCTTTCTAATGTATTAAAACTAGTTTATATATATTCTTGCAAACATGTTTATTTAGAATATAGAAACAAACCTGTAGTATATGCACTCTTAGTTACATATGACTCAAAGGAGGTTTTATATATGCATTATGTGCACTTCATTTCTTCAGTTTTTCATGCGATAGCTGATGTATAAGTACGATAGAAATCGTCCCATATATTATATTATTAACTTATGAATATTATAAGAAAGAACGTGCTCTCTTTCCGATTCATCTGAGCATTCTCTCAAACTTTAACTGGCAAAGGATATAGTTAATATAGTTTTTTGTGTTTATATAACGCCCATAAGAACATGTATAAACCAGTTTTAATTAGATTGGCAAGCATATAAAATTTCTGACCAAATTTTGTATACTGTCTATTGGAGCAATAGGAATGCAAATACCCCTCTGAAGCAATTAATAATAATAATAATAATAATAATAATAATAATAATAATAATAATAATAATAATAATAATAAGTTTTCTTTGTGAATTTCTGGATGTCACTTTTGATGGTTTCAGTCATTTCAGTACCATGGAAAACATCAACAATTGCTGATTGTAAGATAACGATTGTGCAAAAAATTGCCTTTGTTCAATTTGAAATTGTGATCATAAAGGAGGAAGTTGGTATTACAGAGCAAGAAATAGTTAAAACCCAGGTATGTTGTGACCATTTAGTATTTTGTATGTTTCATTGAGATCTCCCCAGAAAATCCAGTCATGAGCTGTTGACAGGGAGAGGGCTTCAAGCCTCTCAGGGAATGACAGATGTCTTACGGCATGAGAATATCTCAAGGATCTCCTCAGCACACTAGCTAAGAAAGCCAGGTCCTGAGTTAAATGTAGCACCCAGATGCAATGACCAAATTCAATTAGTGAAGATGTTGCGGAAAAGTTGAGATATTTTTTAGATTGTACACAATGAAAAGTGAAGATAATCCAACTTTTCAATTATCTACATATAATAAATGTATCTAAACAAAAAGAAAATACCTACACTTCAGAAAAAACAATTGTGTATAAAAATTTAACAGTCTTCATTCATATCTTCAGAAATTCTGGTGAATCACATTTTAAAATGATATAACTTTGCTGCGCATGTGTTTGATTCTATTGTGAACAAACATAAAACATTAATATTTAATATTTTGTGGATTCTTAAATATTTTTTAATTTACGTTTCCTAAGAATTGAATATCATTTATATAAATTTATGCAAAAGAAAATGCAATAATGAAAGTAATAGACCAGAGAATTTAACACGCATATATAGCTTTTAGAAACATTTGCACTATCTTCACAAATCTTTGATATAATACTGTGCTATTATAGAAAAATCGACAATCCCAGAAAAGTCGTAGCGACTGAAATTCAAGCATTTTAGTTCTATATATCCTTCAATGCTTAACTAGACAGGAAAAGTTGTTGACAAGTTATATTTAGAATGGATTAAAATGCTAGTTCAATTTCAATACGTTAGCCCTTTATGAACACATTACTTACTTCATTTTCAAAAACACACACTCCTTTTCTAGCCAAACTAGTAACGAAGGTAGTAGAAATAGTCACAAGATGTGTTTTATGAACTCAACAGTAGTGTAGAAAAGCAGTTAAGATTAAGTAAGTGAAATAATTAAATCAAGCACATTCATGCATTTCTCACTCACAATGATTTCTGAATGTCACATACGAAGGTTCAAAATATCAATTTTATGAGTGTTGACTAAGGCACAAGTTCCATTCATAGGGTTATTGTTAGTATACGAGGCTCTGAGCATATTAGTATAAAAAACATTTGTAGTTCTAATATTTATAGCAGGGACTCTGAAGAAAAGTTGCTGAAGCATAAGTGGGCTCTCTGCAATTACATAAATTAATTTGTACAAGAAAATAAGAGATGCATAGTTTCTTTAATATTTGAGTGTAGGGATGTTAAGTGACCAAGCTATTGCTATGTAATCATGGGTTACATCAGGCAAGTTGAGTTTAAAGGTAGCCATTCTAAAATACCTGTGTTGGATGGCTTCAAGACATTTACATGACAAATTTGATAAAATGACCTAATCAGAGAGGCGAACAATAGCATAGATTGGCAAGCAAAATGTAATGGGATCTTAAGATTTGTATTGAACTGATTTCTTGACATATTCTATGGACAAACCCCAGTATTCTGTTTGGTTTAGTTACAATATAGTAGAGATGATCCAGAAATGACATTCCACCTTCAAAAATTACACCCAATCACTAATGGCAGATATCTTTTCCAGTGTAAGATTGAATCTTTTCTGTTGACTATGTTTATTTCAGATCTTGTGAATGTAATATGCATAAGTTTGTTTGGGTTTAAAGTCAGGTCATTAAACAACCACCAATCTACGAATAAATCAAGTTCATATAGTAAGGCAATCTCATCGGTACTAGATCAAATACAATCTGTAAAAAGAAGAAACTGCGCATTTTTGTAAATAAATTTATTCTAAAAATTCACTGCTAGTGAATTTTCACACTAACATTTTGTCTATCATTGCAAAACAGGATTATTTCCTTTGGATTAAACCTTTGAAATCTTCATGAACAAGGATTTTCAATTTTTATTCGTTGACACATTCTCAAAATTCTTTCACATAGTTTTGACAGTTTACAAACAAAACCATTTTATTTTTACTTTGATCAAAACAACATCTTGAAAAGGCAGAGTTCTTCCTACTTTTCAATTGGTTATTTTTACTTACAATACTAATATACTATTGTATTGCTACTCATTGAGAGAAGAGAAAATGAGATCCAAGAAGACAAAAAGTACCCTGTATTCCACCAAGGAACGTTATCAACAATGCAATGTTTGATTTTCCAAAATAAAAATTAGAAGTGTTATACCAGCATCCAAAATATCTACTATATTTATATTTGATTCACAAAACCATAACATGTTGGCATCTATTGTGACTAATTTACGCATTCTTCCCTCTCATCTACATAATAATATAGGAAAAGAAAACTTTGTGCCCTCCTTTTTAAGCATATTGAACACATAGGTGTACAAGATTGGCATAGTTAAAGTTTATGTAGAGGAAGAGTACAATACAATATTTCTATATAATGTGTAAGAACTATTGAATTCTATTAAATAATATATTTTATAGATGCAACCTGCAGTAACACTGTCATACATAACAAGAAAACTATACAGTTTAGAGCCTTAAAACCTACCCAAAGGACCCAAGTGTTTTCTATGCCCTAATCTACAAAAGGAGATTTTTAGGTGTATTATTTCAAGCTTATCATTGAAGAGAAAATAATACTTCACTTCATATATGCATTTGTGTATGTGAAAAGCACATTATTAATAATAGTAATAATAATTTTCGCTTATGAACTATATTAGTTTTTACAAAAGTTCGTAATAATGTTAATATTCCACTTACAAAGTATTACACATAAAGGGTATTAAAGACTCATTGTCTTCTGTTGGTGGTTGAGGTCATAATACTCGTTTCTTGTATTGATCCCCCCATTTTCATAAGTTTTCAAATTTTTAGTATTGCAAGGAATTAAGGGAAACGTGTTAATGACTTATTTGTACACACTCACAGAGAACAACATAGAACAAAATTTTAAAAAATTATACAGCTACACTGTCAAACAGTTATTTTTTAACTTTTGTCAAAAAGTTACAACCTTACCAGAGACATTGTAATTTTGCAATATTTAAGTCCCAGTGTGAATTTCTTAAGGAAGTTGTTTCTTCTCAAATGAATATCCTTGAGCAAATTTATGTGGGCAAGATTCACAAAATAATCCTAGATAACTTTACATAATTATGAACGTATATAGAGATATTAAGGTTTAAAAAACAATTTAGTTACTAAGCCTACAGGACACAATAAATTAATTAAAAAGAGACGGCCTCAAGCAGTGGTCCTCTACCCAACAACACCAAATTATTATAGATTGAAAATTCTATACAAATTTCTTTATCAGGAAAGGGTTTTGGAACATAACTAAACATTCTACATAAGTATTAATTTACTCACCTAATTAACATGAACAGGCGTCAGGTCTTGCACCTTTCTGCTCTCCAGTTAACTTAATTTGATCTGGGAACTCATTGTACAATTCCACTTCACTTTCCTGAGCCAATGCATTTTTTGCTATAGTCTGGAATGCCTGTTCCACGTTGATTGCTTCCTTTGCAGAAGTTTCAAAATAAGGTATATTGTTCTTGCTCTGGCACCACTGGCTGGCTCGCTTAGCAGACACCTTTCAAAAATGTAGAATGAAATGTAATGAAAAAATGCTTCCAAGCAAAACCAAAGTGTATGCACAATATCAATTATATACATTATCCAATAAAATAATTTTATCTTCTCCGATTGCCTTTACATGCTCTTTACTTACATGTTTGAAGTAGATTAAATAGCTAATTTCCAACGATAAATAGCAAAGTCAATACCATACCATTAATCTGGTATTATTGATAACTAGAGCCTGGATTTGTATGCAAATAAAATTTTTGTTTTGCTAGTTGTTACTTGGAAAATGAACAATATCTTTACAAATCTGCCAACTTTGAGCACCCTTATCAAATTTTATTTTACAATTTTTTGCATTTACAGTTGCTACGCATTTCTGTATATTCAGCATACTTTTTGGTAAAATTTGTTATAATAAAACTTCTTGAAATAGGTGAATTATGATTTATGGATATCACGGATCATGAAATGCCTCACCAGTCACCATAAAGGGAGAAAAGAAGTGAATATCCTTTTAGTCTAAAAATAATTGCCTGCAGATTTAGTGTATTTTGCATGTACAGCAGATTTAGTGTATTTTGCATGTTGCGCAACTAAAGGTAAAATTGAATTTGTGTCTCTCCGACTCGAATGCAATAAAAACCCATGATAGATCATGATTTCCTTATCTATCAGGATGCTTTTTCCCGTAAGCTAGAACTTCTGCGTGGGCATCACCACACCATGATCTCTTTAATTGTCTACAAAAGAAAGCTCTCTCAAATACCAGGTCACAACACTGGATGCTAACGGATGATGTTTATGAAACTAATAAATGAATGGGTGGAAACCAGAATGGTACAAGTGACATTTTGTAAATTCTGAGAAAACTAATTCAATATTACTGTAGTCATGGTGCTTTGTTTCGTCATTAAAACCACAAAATTATATTGCAACTGAAATGTAGCCTAAAATAAACCTGCGTTTCTCAGAATGTAGGAAATGTCACATATAGCTCTGGTCATTCAAGGGATTCTCTCTTAGACTGCAATTTAGTCTTGCCAATAGAGCTAACATGTGTGCAAGAATAGTTCAGATATGCCCAGGTGTTACAGTAGTCTAAGTAGAAAATTAAATGAATGGATAAAGCCATTCAACAAAAATCCATAGTTTTCTCGACAAATGGGAAAGCAGTACAAACATTTTCTTATAACATTTCCTTGTGAATTTTATAAGGCATATTTAAAAGACTGAGTGTGCATATTACTTGGCATATCTTAGGCATTTTTACTGCATAGAAATCCAGGCCCTGTTAATAACACTACTGTGAGAAAATGTCATTCAGAGGCATATGCTGCCATTCACATAAAGGCGGGCTCTCTTTCTCAACAAAACTTAAAACATTCTGGAGACTTTCCCAATCAATGTGTATAGCAAACAATGCAAGTTTTATAGCACAAAATCCCATAATTATTATCCTCAAATAAAATTATGGCAATGCAAGAAATAAAATTCTTACATCTAGAGGCTTTAAATTAAAAGATTCACAAAACTTGTTTGTTGAAATATTTTGTATTATAAGAAAATACTAAGAATTGAAATGTTAAGAATTAAAATCTCTGAACACACTGTTTTCTTTTCTTTCTTCCTTTCCTGTATAGTCTTCATAAAATAGTTCTGCCTTCCTCTCATTCAATATTAGAATTTTATTTTTTAGTTGAAAGAATCCTTAGATAGGTATATAAGGGAATAAACCCTTATGGAGCTGAAAGCTCCTTTGTATTGAAGATGGAAAATTTAAAATATGCTGCACCAACCGAACTAAATTCAACCTGTATTTTGTCAGCTTCAGACAGATTTGTTTTGGTTTTGACATGTGTGAATATACTACTTTCCTGGTGCTTAAATATTAACTTAATTTGTAACATGTCTAATATATAACCAAAAAGTTCACTAAAATCTTCCCTCACAACTATTAACTTCTTCAGTCATAGTTTTCAATTCCATAATTTGGATCACTATCATCAATCTCTATCCAAATTCTTAAACATTTTGAAAATTTTCAGTTTTTCAATTTCATATATGTAACACTTTTTTTAATAGACAATGTCAAACAAACTTAAGAAAAAGTGATTTTTTTCCTTTTCTGGAGGGTGGAAAAGAAACAATTATGCCAGTTCTGGCTTTGAAAAATTATCTACATTGCTTCATGAGATTTATGGCTATAACAATGAATACAATATACCACAGGAAACTTAATAATAATCAGTCTCTGAAGTCCCAACACATTTCTACACACTACTGCAGCTCCATCAAGTATTGTGTGCTATGAATCCAAACAGACAGACCTTCAACAAATTTAACACGTCAACAGACAACTTCAGAATGTTTCATCAAACATTATTGCTGCAAAAGGAGCCCAAGCGATTTCGGAATTTATATCAATACCATCACCGGCAACAGTTTAAATCCAGTCCTTGTATACCAGAAAATGGCCTTTAAATTCAGTACTCTTTTTAAAAGTATGGGTCAAACATATCAGTTTTCTAAGTGATTTTACATTCAGCCACTTATCTGAATCTTGTGACTCGTATGATGTCCACAGACACTTCTGTTTTCCACGAAAAAATAACCATCAGTTTATCTTATTGAAGTCAACATATTTTCTTTTACTCTTTTATTCTTTATAGAATAAGATTTTTTGCTGTTCATATAAAATTTGGACAATACTCAAGGATGAAAATAATAATAAACTTCAACTGATTAACACTTCATGTTTATCAAAAGTTGGGCTAAACAGTTCTAATTATTGTAACCAGAACATTTCCATAAAGTGATTTCAGATGAAACCAAAACTGCCAGCAGTAAAATGCAGCCTTTTCATAATGCCCAGATTAAAGCACATTGCCAGCACAGAACTTCTTTCCCTTGTGTTGGAATTTTACTTTATTGAATGAATGTCTTTGCCAGCCATTGAGTTTCAACAATAAGTTTCTACACGCCTGAGTTGCGAAAAAGATTTTTCCAAAAATTTTAACCCTAATCTTCCATTTTTTGCTATGAAATAACTTGAGGACACAAGTACCTTTTAAGACAAAAGCTTTGCAGGCAGTGCATTGGTGTTATGACAGCTAATCCTGAAAATCTATATAGTGCTAAACTCTAACAGAGTACTGAATACCAAGAGCTTCTATTGCCAACTTCCTAGCCATGGTCAAAATGTTAAAAAAGCGATTGGAAAAGATAAAATGTTGCGTTACAAGTGGCTAAAAGACTATATGCTTATTAGTTGTTCTACAGTTCTCAATAACCAACATGCTCATTATTGTCCCATTTAGCCACTAGTAAGAAAAATTGCTAATTTCTAATATTTCATAATTGTGGATATTGGAAAGAAAATACTAACTGCCCTATTTTCCAAGTCAACTTTATTTCCTAAAACAACAAACGGAAAGTTTTCTGGATCCCTAGGCGATGCCTGGATCAAAAATTCATCCCGCCAACTATCCAAGGATTTGAAAGTTGTAGGAGCAGAAACATCAAATACAAGGACGCAGCAATCAGCACCTCTGTAAAAGGCTACTCCCAAAGACTGAAACCTTTCTTGACCAGCAGTATCCCAGATCTGCAACAAAAAATTTGATCAGCATTCACACAGAATGATTTCAGAAATCCATAGTTTAGCGAGAAACATTTTGAAAACTTACTTTTAACAATATATCAATTAACATCATTATTGACAATAAAAAAAAATTAAAAAATACTCTGAAGAAAAGTTATGTAGTTTTTCCTCACAAGCAGATTTGTTAAGACTAGTCATATAGAGCAAATAATATTTACATGATTGGGGTGTAACAAGCATTCCTTTCTCATTAATTTTCTTGTCAGAAATATAGATTACCATACATGTAAATACACAGAAAAGTGACAAACACATTGATTACATCATGTTATCGGTATAAATTACTCCAGACATTACATCCCATACCATTGAACCCTATCGAATCCATTTCAACAATTTTTGGAGTGTCCCCCCCTCCCCCAAGTTTCAAAATATACCCCCCCCCCCTAAAAGGGTTCTTATTTGGTTCTGATTTGGTCTCCCAATTGTTTTTCCCTTCAAATTAATTAGTATTAGGGGTACAGGCAACGGCCTTGAAATCTCTTCTTTGTACGGCATAGTCACAGGAGTGTCAACTTTCTTGCATGCAGTGCAGCAAATTACTTCAGTAGATTTTGCACATGATTGCATGCCATGGCAGCTGATAATGTTCTAAACACATTCTAGACATATACTATGTGATAATTGAAGTGACAAAATAAATATATAAGTTGGAAAAATCGGTCAAAAAGTCTTGTTTAAATGTGTGATGGTCATGATTCATGTAGTCTTATCAAATAACTGTATTCCATTCTGAAGAATGAATATATTCAAAAGATTTGAGCAAAAGTTAAGCCTAAGAAAAATGAGGAATAAAATAAAAAGGCGAACTAACTTTGCAAAAAACATTTCAGCAGTAAGCACATTGTCTGGAGAAATGTGCTAAGAGCACATCCTAAAATTTCTTACTGTTAGTAAAGCAAGTCTTATAATGTGAAACTTTTCCAACCAAAGTAGTATTCATTACATATATAATATAAATTAAACATTTAAAATTGGTCAAATGTTAAATTAAGTAATTAAAGAATATATGAAAGGGATAACACAGTAAATATTACCCTTCCATATATTCTGTAGTGATTTTTGAGAGAACCTTGGAGTAATTTCTATTGAAAAGTGGGTATATAAGTATTTTTAATACTAAATTGTACAACGTGTGCAGAATTTGTGTGTACCAAACTAAATATTATAAGTGCATGACACCATCAAAAATATCTAAAAAGACATGATATCTTACAACATGGGCACGGATTTTATTAATATGCTAAAATATTATTTAGTTCAAATTTTGGAAACTTCTTTAAGTGTGAGTATGTTTATGTGAATGTGTACATACACATTTATTTTTCATCTCAGCAAACAAAAAAAATAGTTACAGAAACTAGAAGACAGAAAGATGCGAAATGTGACCAACAAGTTCACTGGCTCCCAATTACCCTCAATCCCTAATACTCTGGCAGCTTTCTTTCACAAGTTAAAAGACATAGAAAGAACAATGCACAAATTAATAAAAGCAATTGAAAAGTTGTCCTACAAGTGAAAAAATCATTTCCTGAAGGAAGACCAAGAAAATGTCTGATAACACCCTATATTGTGAACTCCAACAACCTGTTTCCAAACTATGCGACTCCAATGACACTACTGAGACATATTTGCAGAAGTACAATGGGCAGTCCCTTGCATTAGATAAGGAAATTTGTCCACAGCACTAATTTTCTTCAATCCATAATCAAGACATGTGGCATAAAACAGATGTGAACAGTCAATTATAGCTTAAACTCTTCCTCAATGCATTTCAAATTTAATTTAGCAAAATTTGTTGGTTCATACTATATTATTTTTTTATGAATTGTAATTAGTACAGTGTCTCCATAATTAGACTAGTTAAGCATAACCTAAATATTATAGAATAAAAAAGAAAACTTGGAGATTATTTTTTAAATCAAATTGAACCAACGTAAGAAGCACCCCTTGGTTATTTCTTCAAATTTAGAACTTCACCACACAAGGACAATTATAATCACTATTACACAATATATCTACTTATTTATTGTATTTATTAGCAGGATAATGGAACAACAAGCATTTGTTGTACGTCCAATACCCCCCAGAGTAACATTTGAATATCCGTAGGGAAGTGAGGAAATAAACATAATCCTGTTTATGTCCAAGAATTTTGGTTCTTGGTTGTGAAGAGTGACATACGCAATACATATTTTTACTGCATCTTCTGAAATTACTTACGTATAAATGTAAATTGGACATTCCCATTTGCCTTGCATATTCTTTCAATATTGTTCAGTCATCTCACAAATTGGAATGCTAATTGTTTAGTTGTAAATATTGATTCATAAATCTATTTCATTAGTTGTTTTGTTTGAACACTATTTTCATTTAATATGCTCTCATGTTCAAAAGAACTCACCTGCATGGTAACTATCCTATCATCAACAAGGACTTCTTTGGTCAAGAAATCTGCTCCGATGGTTGCTTTATATTGATTTGAAAACTTCTTATTGACATACTGGTTCATTAATGAAGTCTTCCCCACACCAGAATCACCCAAAATGATGACTTTCAGAAGAACCTTCTTACGAGAAGCCATGATCTTTCACAAATGCCTGAAACACATAGTTACACATTATTCTTAAAGGGTTATTAGAGCTGAAGTATCATTCACCAGACCAATGCAAGAAAAACAATGAAAATTGCAACATTAATCAACTACAAAATTCAACTCTCTGAAGGGCAGTGTATTATTTGTGTAACTTTTCTCGAACGATGGATTAAAGAAATGCGGGTAGAAGGGGGTATTGGTTACGTAATCAGCCACTAGATTTTATGATGGAATGCCTATCTCCGGAGAATCAGTTATGCCTTTGCAACTTTCTCAATATTTGCATTCCAACTTCCTCAGGAGTTCAAGGTATCTCCTGTGATGAACCTTCACCTTCTTCAGTCATTTCTTTAGATTTTTTGGAGAAAACCACAGACAGAAGTTCTTGTCTTCAAATAGTTTCTACATCGTGCCAGTGAAGATGTGTTTGGAATGTCATCAGTGCACTCTGCGAGCTTTTATCTTCAACTATTTATTGTGCCAGAAGGGGAAGCAAGGTCATCATTCAAGAAAAATGCGAGTAATACTAATCCACCCTGAATTCATTTTAAAATGATCATTCAAAAACTACAAATGGTTACTTTTTAAAAGAAATTTAATTAAAACAAGAATAGGAGTCACATTACGTGGTAATATTACAGAGAGAATTACTGTTGTGTTCAATATGCGATTCAAATCAATTTAACTTTTGAGCAGAGTTTCCTAGTATAAATGTCAAACCTATTCTTATTCTAACAGTGATATTATTGAAAAATCGATGCAATTCACTATCAACAAATTATTTTATTTAACTGACAAATCACTCAAGTCTTCCCCCGGTCTCAATAAATATCAATCCACTGGGAAGTTTCTTCACATTTGCTTAAAATGAAAGAAAAGAAAAAAAATAAGGGAAGAAGAAATGACCTCCATGACAACCTTAGGACATAGATGCAGGTCATTTTTCTTCACAATCTAATAGCACCACATTAAAAACTTTCCAAAACGACTAAAATGATAAATATATTCCCAGAATATAAAAAGTCAAGTCACCTTAATACAATAGTAACTATGGACCAAACTTCTTTTCCACAGTGGCTAAAATATCTTCTTAATTTTAATCTAGGGATTGCCCAAGAGGAAAGCCACTGATATTACAGTATACGTTTGCACTGTCAATTAAATTTACTGGAATGTTCAGTTAATACGCATGACATCGAATAAAAAGTAGTACCTTAATGAACAAGAACATAAAAACGTGTTTACGCGACACTCTAAACAATATAACAAACAATATTAAAATCACTATCTTTTCCACTATCTCTATCCACAGACTTCCAATAAGTTCTGCACGAATTGCTTCTAACAAGTGTAGTATACTCAAACTCAACAGCTGTCAAAGGTAACGCAAAAACAAATACACAGGCATACAAGATGACACCCGTCTGTGAAATAAGACAAATCAACATTGACAATTTAAGCAACCAAACCCAATAACATCGTCCAATATAGAGATTATCAACAAATTAAACAGTGAATATACACACCAGCACACAAAGGATACTTGAACTATGGTCAGAAAACGCACGAGGACAACGCAAACAATGACGTTTCGCAATAGAATGATGAATGCGGCCGATTAAACTATTTCAAACAAGCATAGCATTCATCCAGGAAGATAATGGGAAAACCATCGTTAACACTTTTATAAAACTCAAGATTTGTTCAAATAACTGACGTAATTCACATATGAATACCGTTTCAAACTGCTTCTGTCGTACGTCTTCAAGAACACTAGTATAACACTTCTTAAATTTATACCTCAATCGCTTTAGGAACCTTAGTTCTTTCTTACCGCCTCGAACTTCAATTTCGCGTTAAAGCTGGGCATGAAAGAATGAAATAACCCAACAATATATTACCTTTTTATAAAATACGGGAGCTCGTCCTCACCTCCCCAAATGGAAAATGGCGTACTCTCCGTGAATCACGAGTTCTGTACGTCATCGATGAACTTCACCCGGAAATGGCAATCGGGTCACATGTTCTCGGGACGGTCTTGATCACAATACGATGAATAATTCTTTTATCACAGATAATACGTCAAAATAATATTATTCACTTCAATGTCTTAATATAACTTAATTACCATCTTTCTTTTCATAACAAAATTCGATAGCTTATAATCAATTTACTTGCAGGGGCTACCTGAATACAATAATCTGTACGTTAACTACATTGTTTGTACGGTACTAAAATAATGCATTGCTTTCAGGAATCTCAAATCTTCATAACAAAACATCGATATGGTACAATACCTTGGAAAGTGCAATTAACCTGTTTATTGAGATATTGTAGTTAGGCAGTTAGGGGACTGAATCTCATGGGGACGATTCTCTAAATTGGACTATTATTCTGTTGTATGGATACAATTTCATAGCCAATTGTTAAATTACCATACATGTATTATCCACTTGTCAACTTACTTTGGCGACATGTCGAAGGTTGTAAAGGTAGCTTCTTTCGGCTACAACTACAAGAAATAATTTCTTACATACTAATGTATTTATACAGCGACGTACGGTAGTGTTACTAGTTTGGTAATAGTTTGCAGGTGACGTCGGGTACTTCAAGTTCACATACTAAAACTGCTAGCAGCAAAATAAAGGCCATCAGTGCTATAATTTCCACGGTCAACACTGTGAAGGTGAACGAGTTCACCATCAGAAGGGTGTAATGGAAGACAGAACTAGAGATGTGCCTTTCAAGGAAACCAATTTAAATTCCTAGTGTAACATTTGACAAAATCTTATTCGTGTTGTTTGTAAAATACGTGGAAAGGGCACAAATAGTAAGCAAAAAAATATGTTTCGGTATAGCTATCAAGTAGTAGCAGTATGCACAATTTCTTACCAATACAAACGCATACGTCTGTGGGGCGATTTTGACAATTCCCTGAACGAACAAATAAAGTAATTTGCAAGTACTTTTAGAACAATTATAACGAACGGCGGGAAAACGAATATTGGGAATCTGTGCTTAATCAAGTACATACGGAACGGACCAATACGATATAAGAAAGAAATTCGAATACTTTCCAAAAAAAAAAAAAAAAAAGAACTAGTTACATTCGGAAAAATTGTACTTTGGCTATTAAAACAATCGATTTACTAGATATTTGAAATATGAATAAAAAGGCAAGATTTTCTTAGAATTGTGCATAACAAACCCACCAGCATTGCCACTAGAATAAGCCCTTCAATTAACATTATTTCCGCCCCTGGAAAATGTCTATGAATAATTTTACAGAAATGATGTCTCTCTGGTACTTCCATGTCATACTATAAGTGGTTCTGCTTGGGCAAGAGAAAAATTATCAAAAGCTCTTATAAATACTTAATCATTTGAAATATCCATAAGTTTAAATACAAAAAGTCTCTTTTCTTGGCACACCATGCAATTTCTCTGTATTATAATAAATGGAAGAAAAAAAAGTCAACCCTAATGAAGGAAAATTCTACTCCCATGTGTAGGGAAAAAGCGTAAAAGACGTGTTTTGCTACATTCTTGTACCCAGAATATTGAACTTATGACTGCCAGGTACTAATAGAGAATCTTAAATCCACAGCAGCAAATCAAGAATGCAGCAACAGCCTTAAAGGAAGGATTACTAAGAGACCTGGCATTCATATACAACATGCTTTGGCCATTTCAGCTTATTTCTAAAAGTAATAAATAATTAGCAGATGTGTATGTGAATTGAAATAAGCAATCAACGCCTTCACTTGTTAATGGGATAAATAAAACGCCCAGGCAAGCAAACCATACATCTACGAAACATTTTATTTTTCTTGGAAGTAATTCAGTAACAACATTCCCATATTGCATAGATAAAAAGCCAAGTTATATCTTTATAAGAAATGAGATTTGTATTGCACCTATGTTGTATATAGAACATCAACAGCCAGCAGGATATATCACTACACACTTTATAACATGCAAATTAAAGGATTCAATAAATAATGTAATGTTTTAGGAAGAACGAACAGAAAAAAAAATGTATAGGTAAAATAAAAAATTAAAAAAGGGTGTTCCAAACACAGAATATGCTGGCTGAATTCAGAAGACTGAAAGATGAATATTATACTTACTCTATAAATCGATATTTAAAAATATATTCAGTCAAATATGATATGCACCTTAATTTCAATCTGCATAAAACACATTCCATTAAAATATGTATTTCTAAGCTATAAAACTTTCATGTCCATTGCTCAACTGTTTAACATACAAGACTGCTTCTGACGCATTAAGCAAATTAAACACATTTCTACACCAAAAATGTATAGGTATATTCTTATAAATACTCTACCTCTAATCTTGAAAATGATTACCATTTAATTGTGATCGGTATTTTTCATAACTTTGCATATGACATACAGGACGGAGTATTTGACATTTGCATTGTTAATAAAAAGTAACAGGGAGTTTCAGAGTTTATGTTTGCGAAATATTACATATAACTAAAAATGAGAATATTGAATGCTGAGATTCTAGGTTGCATAATCCAACATGTATTGTTCCTTCTCTTCAAAAATATATCTCCCTTAATGTGGTCCCTAAGTTGTAAATACAAGATCTACACTACCTTCAACAAAAAAAGTAACATCCAACATATAAAAAAGATAAGTTTTATTTACACAACAAATATACCTATTCATTTATACCTTATAAATGTTTGAATAAATTGTAAAATTTTAAACTATTTTAGGGTTGAAATACCAGAAGATTTCATAATACATAAATGACATGGCAAATAAATATGTGACTCAATGCTCACTCCAAGAGAATAAATTAAAAAAGAATATGAATTTGAAAATACTTTAATATAATTCATAAAAATCTGCAGAAGGAAATATATTAAATTACAGTGTGATATAGCAGTGATTTTTTAAACACCTGATTATTTGTGTTGGCGTAAGTTGAAAGCTTCACACCTTCACTGGATATGGCAATGCAACTTCTCTACCACTCTGCATAAAAAACTTACTTAATACACAATCACATCTGATCAGTAAGTAATACATCTACAATTTTCTAAATATGACAAACTACATATACAGCAGAACATAAGCAAGATAAGACAGCTAGCAACTAAAGTTTTATTGACTAAAGTGTGAAAATAACAACAAAGTTTCAATTGAAAACATGAAGCCATAAAATTATACATGTAAGATGAGAACAGTTATGAGCTTACTGGTAGTTACAGAAGCAAGTGCAAAATAGGAGAATATTAAATAAATTTACCTTGAATGCAATGGAGCATTCTTACGATTGTCAATGCAATACAAAGGGCAGTGTTTTGCACATTGAAACATTCTCAAATAATACGACTTGAAATAAATTTATGTTAAAATAATCTTATTGCCATTTAAATAGTGGCTCTTTGGTTGAACATATTACAGAAATTACTTTCCTACGATTTAAAATTGAATTTATACTTCCTTCACAATCAGAAACTGTATATGAAGGAAATACATAATGCATTTGATAGGAAACGAAAATTCAGAATACACTGCCATCCAAATATTTGTAAATATAATTCTGCATCTCAGATTTTCAGTACACTAAGCTTACTATAACCAATGACAGCAAATTTATATAGAGTAATCAAGTCAATATTGTCTGTTTAGAAATTAAGGGTGCATCGTTCCCAGAAACAGATATAAAATAAGTTTCAAAGAAAAAAAATTCCATGCATTTGCAATGTCAAATATATTTTTTCCTACAATATCCTAAATCATTAAATACTGGACATGCTTGTTCTCTATAAATTCTGTCTTCAGGTCTTTTCACTCTGAGATACAAATATGTTTTGCATTGCCACACCACTAGTGTTGCAGGTGGAGCAATTTGAAGCCTACCTGTTGGATTTTACAGCTGTCAGCACCAAATGAGGATACTTGTACTCAATCTTCAATTTTACATTTTATAGCTGAAGAGACAAGACTATCAGATAATCAAATACAAAATACAATGGACCAAAAAGGTCGTAATACAAGCAAAGTAACATTACAGTCAATGTTTGTTGCACAGCACAAGAATATTTCTATTTCATCATGCCTCATGTCTACAATTAGAAAATGGGCCCTTGTACATTACAACTGCATAGTTCACGTTTTCATTATTGCTTAAAGTGGTTCAATGATATGCTAGTAATTTTCTATGTCAACAATTCATGATGAACTTGTGCTTTGCCAAATCCAAATGAGGCATATTTAACAGTAAAAATTAACATTATAAATCACACATAATACCACAGTCATAACAACTCACCCCAATACATTTTGACCTTCATTGTTTTTGTTTCTATGAAATTTACATTGCACATTACAAAGCTTTTAATATGCAGTAAGAACATTATATTAAATGATGTTCCAAGGTAATTATGACACATCTACATGATAGATGATTAAATTTATTCTACTTTTTCATCTGAGAAAGAATAAAATTTATAGGCCATACCCAAATTCCTTTGTATCAACTGAATATCAACATAGTGCTTCATTAAAAATCCTATAAATGTTAATTTAAAAGTATGGGAAGAGAAATCTGACAACACTAAAATATATTTATAGACACTAGTCAGGAAGAGGTAAGGTTCAAGATAATTTTAGACTTAAAAGAGAGAAAGAGAGAGAGAGAGAGAAAGAAAAAAGTTAACTCAGGGAAATTTAATTTGCTCATCAAAGTCACAGTTTTTAAAAGTCATTAAAATGAATCACGCATGCACACACCATACACACTCTTATTTATATTTATGAAATCTTATTGCAACTACAGGTCTTGTTTCTGGTAAGGCACCGCATTTTGACAGTTTGAGAAAATACCTAATTTGGGAGGATTATTCTACAGCACTGCACTATACAAGAGCACACAGTATTGCTGATATCATAGCTAATAGGGCTGAAATTAATTGCACAAAGCCATAAAGGAAGAAAACATTCAGCACTTCTGCTGAGCATTCAGAATCTTTCAGCAGTTAAATTTAATAGCTGTTGTGGCAGAGCTTAATAACCTTAGAAGTAATTCGGAAACTGCCTTAAAATGTACCAACAGTAACTGCCTTCAGTGCAATTTCCTTTTGTACAATTACCAATGCTAAAAATTTTCCATTTTGAAAAGAAAAATAAACACACAACCACACACAATTGTTTATTAATTACCTTACTGGTAGTATTACTTGTGAAGGAAGATTTGTATAAGAATAGAACTTCTGTAGATATAAAAATTTCTGAAATACAGAATTTAATTCATGTGGCAAATGGTGAGAAGTTATCTTCCAGATTCTATGCCGAGCAATATATGTCTGTTCTTGAAGGAATGCACACTACACATCCAGATAGAAATTGAAGATGTTCAGTAACATCTGATGTGTTCAGCACCATTCATTTTCCAAAAAGTAGCAGTGGTGGTGATGGTGATGGTGATTTTAGGATATAAACTAGCAAGAAATCTGTAAAGGCCTCTCTTCTTCCACCGAGTTACAGAATGATGCATTTAGTTATGACAGCACTTTTACACACACTTCAACAAGAGAAATTAACTTTGGATGTACTTGGTGTGACAATTTTCTTCTTTCAGTACAGCTTGTCCATCCACACTATTACAACCCACATTATTAGCATAGATTGAATACCTGAGTATCTGCATAGTGTAGTACTAAATTTTTTAAATTACAAAATTAGAGATGCAACAGAGTCATTGCAGTACAAACACAAATTTTATGTAATAAAGGTAAACAAACCATTATTTGAATGACACAGCATTCAGACTTGTAGATTAACAAAAAATTATTTGTAACTCGCCTGACAGAAGAAGAGATTATGTGACCTGAGATTTATGAATCATTTGACAAAATGATATAAGGGCATATATATATCTCTTTAACAACATCCTTCTTTTTCAGGTATTGCAATAGAAGGAATAACATCTTTATTATTTTCCACATAAAATTCAACAGTTCAATGATACTAGGAATTATTCTACACTATAACATATGTACACATAAAATATGTGATACTCTTCTACATACCTCCTGAGATTAAGGCTTGCAAATTTAAGTATCAAAGAGATATTATGATCTACTGGCACACCCAATACTGTAAGAATCTGAACAGCAGATTGCCTGTACCATTACATCAAAACATTTCTTTGTCCTATAGTTTATTCATTGCCATTTGGAATGGTGACAGCCCTTACAAAAGTAAATATTTATTAATTGTACATAAATGAATGTTTTTTAGTACAAACAAGACCCGTAATAAATAGTGCGCTATTCTGCTATCCTATTTAATAAACTCCTGGGCCCTTCTACCGGCGTTGCAAAGGTCTGTCACCAACCCCAATTAACATAGAATAAAATATAGAATAATATTTATCACAAAGGAGCACTAGAAATTGAAAGTCCCACATGACATGCCACTGCATATTTACAATTTTTTAAAGGTATATTCAATATTGTCACCGACTCATCAAAATATCAACATTAATCCATGAACAAAAATACACTGCACTGAAGTCTGTTGTTTGATGCCTTTGTAAAATTTTACAGCTAATGTATGACAAAACAAGCATGACACAAAGAGTATTCTTTAAATGTATATTAGATACACTTTCATACTCAAATACGTAATTTAAGTAGCCTTTAAAATAAATTTAATACTGTCCTAATGATCACACCTTGCAATTATGTCACAGTATGGTATGATTGCCACTCAAACATAATAGGAAAAACCAGTGAATGTTTCAGGAAATATCACTGAAATCTCTATGTTGCAGAAACTTGAGGTAATATTTAACACACAAATATTTAGAATTGCTCATGTGACCTATTACAAGGTGTAATCTAATGAAAATAAATAAAAGTAAAATTCTTTTGAGAATGAATAATAAAAAAGGTTATCAATTCATTCACACTACCAAGAAAAGAGCAAATACAAAAGAAAGAAAGCAGAATACTACTAAGAATTGTGAAGATATTTATCACAGTCAAAAAATAGTAAAGTAATTTTTGCTTGTGTGGTAATAATCAGGCTTCAGACTCATCATTCACCATCCTATGTTCTACAATTAAGTCACAAACAGAAATAAATTTTATTATGGAAGACTATGATGAAGACAATCAAAATGAATCTATATGTAATCAATTAAATAAAGTGGAAGAGAGAGACATGATTTCAACTCACTAATAAAAACCCTGTTTAAGAAAGCCAAAGTATAAATTTTTCTAGCAACACCATATTAGTTAGCATAGAATTGGAAGTACCAAAAATATTTTTAAAAAAACATGCAAAAAATTCATAAAATTTAAAAAACTTATGTGAAATGATTATTTTTGGGGATTCAAGTGTCAACTGGGAACATCAAATACTGATAAATAATTAGCATTATTATGACAAAAATTGTATTACAGCAATATGCAACATTTTTACTGACATCTTTTCTTAACTCACTGCTGAAACTGCTTCCAATCTACAACAATGCATGTATTAATATATCACCTAAAACTGATTTAAATTCTTTGGACTACCTCTGTTATATCTACTCAAATGTTCTATTGTACTGCAGTATGCCAAAAATGATATGCTTTGAAGAATGACAATCTGACCTGCTTTACTGTTCTTTGTAAACCATAGTTAGAACTTTCCTTGCACACAAATCATTCACATAAGAAATAACGTAAAAATGCTCCAATAAAATTAAAAGTTGCCCTAAATAATCAGCACCACAGGGTACTTTCCAAAATGAATTATGCAATATATTTTAATGGTCAATTTCAAAATGTATCAACATCACAAGCAATAAGTAAATATACATTAGAAAAATATTATAAGTACACACCAAATTTGATGTTCAGAAATGAAAGTCACATTACACTAATGAATAAAATATTTAAAGAAAACTGACTAGGATTAATACACAATATTATTAATGTTGTACTGTCTTGAAATTTATACAAAATATTTCAAATTTTATTTTAATAGGATTCAAGGTGCCCTCGAGGCCACCCTTATTTAATACTTCAATTCCAAAAATCAGCTGAATGAGAATGTGGATTTTGATTTTTTCTAAAAAATGAAGAGTTGCTTTTCATTTTAATGAAAAGTCACAATACAAGTCACTTTATCTACAGTATAATTTGCAAAGTAAACAAACAGACTAGTGCACATGCACATGTATCATGCGCACACACACACTCAATTAGATTACTTCAAGAACGTTGAGAGGCCACACCTAGTTACACTTGGACTCTGTGATATAGAAGAAAATATTAAAATACTATAGCAGACTTTATTTTTCATTGAACCATCTTCTGTGTGTAAAAAAGTGACACTGGCTATAGATATGTTTAATCTGAAAAAACATATTTAGAGTATTTAAAAAGAAGGTATACTAATTAAAGGAGGAAGATTATTCATAAAATAAGATAAAAGATTCATATGCCCTTTAAATAGAATTCAGACAAATTTTATAGATCCATATTAATTGACCTAACGTACAACCATACAAACTAGTGATTGTTAACTGAAGTATAGAAGGACCTCTTACTATCACCAGGAGATCAAATGTTGTCAATGATAATTAGTATCATTTCATCTCATGTGTGAATGGATCAGTCAGTCCTATAAATTAATAACAAACAACTTAAAAAGTTGTGATAGTTTTTAAGAGAGGTGTAGTACTGTAGCTTTTGCACTTCTAAATACTTCACAGAAATTTAACAAAATATTACATACAATACTATCAGCATAAACACAAGGGTTCAAGTGAAGAAAGAAAGAAAAAACACACACACAACGAATTCATGATTAAATTTAAAAACATATCTACAATGCTTCTGAAATTTTTTTTTTCACTTCAAAAGCAAGCACATAAAAGTTCGAACAAATCATCGGATGTAAGCAGTACAGTTTGCAGAAATGCTTGTTTTGTCATTCGTAATAAGAAACATACAAAAAGAAAATTCATTTGTACCCAAAAAATCTTTCAATGATTATAATTCTGTCAATAAAAACATTTTTCAAAGCATGTTAACAGAATACTACACTTATTTTAATTTCAAAACAAACAAAATTAGAAATAAATTAATAAACTAGAAAGAAAATGTTACAATGAAAATATTTTCAGACCAAAGCTATTTAAAACCACACACAATACTATTATAAAGTGTTTATAACTTGGTGCTTTATTATGACACTTCAATACACCTGCTCTTTTACCTATTAGAGGAGTGAAGTGGAGAGTTGTCTCCACAGAGACTCTGGTGTTGATTGGTTCACCTGTCTAAATTTTACAGCTGAAATACAGACTACTTGTACATATCAAACCCTCTCCCTGCATCCATAGCAAACATGCAAAAAGACAGCAAATAAAAAAGTATAAAAAATTCACTCTTTTACACTATTTGTGAAAGTAAAATTAAAACACACCGAAGTTAACTATGTATATCCCACATGAGAGCACCAGTCTGTTAATGGAATGCTTGTATCATATTGTGTTCAGAATAAAAAATTACATACATTACTTACATATTGCTGCCATTTTGCATTTAAATATTTCTATTTACAAGAAAAGCACTAAAGTAATTTTATATTGTATATAAATCAACTTTCCTTGAGGCACACGCCATTGTACACCAAGATTCGTACAAAATTATACATGGTATCCAGTGTGGACATATTTACAAGAACTAGTACTGTTGTGAATTACCCTAAACTATAATTTTTTGAATACTAGTAATTTTCTTAATTAAAATAACATGTACTAGTATTAACCAAGGCATTCATCTGATCAAGTGCAGAGTGCACAATTTCAGTGCTAAAAATAACACAAATTGTTACAAACCTAGCAATTGTCATCTCTTTCATCCTTTGATCTAGGAGCACTTGTGTTCATTTTTGCAATGATGCTGCTTACTAAATCAAAGGAATTTGTTTTAGTTGGTGATGGTATCTTAGATGTTTCAGCCTTCCCTGTTTGTTCCTTTTTCACAAACACCCAGTGCTTGGGTTTATCTTCTTTTCTATGAACAGGATTGCTGATTTTGCTGACTTCTGTTGTGTCTCTTTTTGATATGTGAACACTAATGGGCTTCTGTTGAACATCATTTACACAGTTCTCTCGTTTGACAACAGCCAAGCAATGGTCACCATCTTCGTTGCTAGCACTAACTGTGGGCAATGTAGACCTGGGTTCCTGTTTAACAGAAGAAATGTACGTCTTTTCATCAGAAGTTCCATGTTCTTTTTTCTTTACAACTAAAGTAACAGGCTTCTTTTCCACCTGACTAGAGCTGGCTTCTTTTTTCACATATTTGTCATGTTTTTTGTCATGTCTTTGATCTTTCTTCTGCTTGTCACAAATATCATCACTATCCCTCTGTTTACTATCTTTTGATTCGACTTCAGGAAGTGGTGATCTTGCTTTTTCTTCTTTAGACACTTTGACATCATCTTTTAGTTCATATGTTTCATCTTCCACTTTCACTTTCTTTGTCTCCCCCTTCACACTAGAGTGACAATCTAATTTCTTATCTTTCTTTGAATCCTCTCTTTCTATTGGCCTCGAATCATTAATATCACTGTGTCCACTGCTATTGCTCTTTCTCCTTGTTTCACTTTCTTTATCTTTTCTTCTTGATTCTTCATGTTTTCTTGTATCTGAACTTTCTTTAGATACCACAGATTTGATATCTTTGCTGTCACCAGTCTTGAATCTCTTTGAATCTCGATCAACATCATCTCCTTCCCTTTTTCGAGGCTTTTCTGCTTTGCTACGAGAACTCTCTTTATGATCTCGTTTAATCTTTCCTTCTTCGTCTTTGATATATGTTTTCTCTTCAGTTCTTTTCTTCTCCTTTTCTTTCTCTTTACGGTGTCTTTCACTCCTAGATTCGTCTCTAATATCCTTTTTAGGGGTCTCACATGAAGCCTTTTCTAAATTTTTCTTTTCTTTATAATGATGTTGAGCTGTTACAACTCTTGAATGTTTAATGTCTTGAATATTAAGACAATCAGGGTAATACTGCCTCAATCGTACATGCCAAGCTGTCAAAAACAAAATAATATATTATTATCACATATGACAAGTTAGGTAAAAGTTACAAGAAAATTGCCAAGAGGTTTTATTGTAAAATTCCCAATACTTTTTATATAATTATAACCATAATGCTATCATTGTGCAGTTCCTTGTATGACAATACATTCTTCATAAAACAACTATTTATACATCCATTACATTACATCAATTTATGCATTATTATATTAAATAAGAATGCAAACAATATTTGCAGTTAATTGCTTATCAAAGAGAAAAACAATAATAAATAAGAAGAGCAGTAGTGTGATACATACAAATAAATAAATAAAAGTAAGCATTCAAAATGCATGAACTCCACGTTTTGCCACTGGAGCAAACACACTTTGCATACATATTTAAGTCCAGGAAAGGATTGTGTAATAATAGTAGTAGTAGGTAAAATATCCAATAATTATTAATTTATTAAATATTTAACAAATTAAAGGTGTGAAACTTCAGCGCATTTCAAAGGAATTATACAGAACTTAATATGTTCTCTGGCAGGTAGCGCTAGCGTCTGCTACTTTGCTCCTAGCCCTTCCCCAAATGCTGCTATTTCTCATAGCGCCACCCCATTGCAGTTCTGGTGCAATGATTAAGTGGAAAAGAGCGAAGCGAATCGGAATGGAATCTAGCGGGCCAGTGCAGGCGGGGACGGGACGTCCCGGGAATGTAAATACAATTACATACGTTTTACTCCAGAGATAGAATTCGTTCCTTTTCCTATCTAATAGAAATAATTACCCAGGTAATAGGGGTTACTTCTACTAGCACACGTTACGGGTAAAGTCTGAAATAACCCTGATTACGGAAGTAGATAATTCGCACATTAAGGCGGCTCCACACATGCGACATTAGGCGAATCCCGAGTTCATGACAATAGACACGAACGACACATTGGGCCCAAGAACTACACGCCTACTCTCATTGGCCTAAGAAACTTTCAACAGGAATGCTATTCCTCGTCACTGCAACTTACCCTATACTTAGTTTTTTAATGTGGCCTTTCAAGATCAAAGAGTGAAGAGGGGGGGGGGCTCTAGTGACGTAGCAGCTCCCTATTGGAGTGTGCCTTTTCTCTTCCTTTTTCGTGCGCGACCTGGAGACGCCACGTTAAAACAAATCGAAGTATAGGCACCTCGTGTTCGGTTAAGACAACTTCATCCTGCAAAAGTCGGATGTATGCTTTGAAATCGTTACTACTAACTATGCACCTGTTTTGGATAATGTGAACATTAACCAGTTGACTCGGAAATGAGCAGCAACGTATCTAAAACAATTTCCTACGTCCTCGTGATTGTAAAGTAAAGTTTGATAAACTGGAGTATACAAACTTGGGATTACTTGCACAGTATTAAGTTACTTTCTGTTTAAGGATAAGCTGCCCTTACGATTTTTCGAATAGGACGTCTCCACATACAATTGAAAAACTTAAAACAGACCGAGTCGTTATGCAATTACTGCTAATGGCCATATCTAGCGAAACAATTTTGTAGTTTTTGCGACGCGCAATTCGGTAATAGGAGAGGCTTTGGGTAAGGAACGGATAGTTGAGGTGATTTAGCGATTTGGGAATTTTGCAGAATACATCAACACCAGGCAGGTTTCTCTAAATTAGTTTCGATTGGCGACTCTCTTGATTATGTATGACAGTTTGGGACGAAAGCAAAACGTACATTTAAGTTTCATTTATAAGTGATTTATCAATAAAGACACTACAATGGAACACACATTTTATCCTCTATCTCCAGTTTGGTCAAAACTTTTGTTAAAGTGATTTACTCAGAGCAATTAAGAATAGAGAATATATTAAGACGAAAGAAAACTTTCGCACTAAATTTTGTTTTTAAGAAATACACATACTTTTTTTATTCATTAATGTGAGTCTAATTTTGACGCATTATCCCTAGGACATAACAAAATACACACACATACAGTGGCGTACCGTTCGGGCCCGCAAAGCCCGCAATACTGGCCGGCCCGGGTAACAGAGGGCCTATTTTTAGGCTGAAGGTTTTGCGATTGTAAGAAGTATTAATTACTTGCTACTTCCTCTGATACTTTAGGATAGTTGATAAAATAAAAGATTAAAACAGCATCTTCCAAAACAAATTTTCCCGCTTCGATAGCTTATGTAAGCCTGTTTCTAAATGAATGAAGGCAAGAAATATATTTTGGTCTTAAAAGTCTTAATTTCATAAAATTTAATAATAAAGGAAGCTTCTTCCACTATTGGTTCTATTGGTTTTGCACTATTGGCACTTTACCATTGTTAACAATAAACACGATACACAAACGGTCTTTCGATTGTAGTAAGACGAGCCATTAAGCTTCACTAGTTTTCAATGTAAGTACTGTTTTTATTAATAAAACTAGAGTCTACTATACACAATTGCGTATGTAGTAATAAAAAAAGTTATGAATATGAATTCGTTAAAGGATATTTTTGTATTATGTACGGTATTAACACTACTTGTGTTTGCTATACACTTTTATAAAGGAGGTCCGGATAAATGTGCGGTTTCATTTCGATACGCTACTGCACGTACGTATATTTCAAAAAAATAAATGAGTAAGGAAAACAATATTGTAGAAGCGTCAGTCAATGCAGTACATTTTCTACTACACTACACAAATCAAATGATTACACCGCAAGTAAGTTTAAGGTTTCTCATTAAGTTTAATGTCATCTACAGGTTCACGTCCTCGTATTCGAGGTATGTATAGAATTCATTATTAACCAAAAAATACCTATTTTATTTTTTTAAATTTCCACGTCAAATCGCACAAATTTAAGGAAATTTTATCTTGATCTCTTGATTTCTACTTTTTTCTGGGAAGAGAATACGTAAAAATATATAACACGTGTTTTTCATTTTTTTTCCAAATATTATTTTTCAATATTATATTAATTTTTAAAATTTTTGAAAAAAATAATGCTCGCATTGCGAAAGTTAATAATTTTTAATTTTGTGCTATAATTGTGCTAGAAATTTAATACTTTGCGACTCAAAGAATGAAAGATGCTTTTTCCATTTGATGTCAGTATTGAATTCATTATTAAAAAAAAAATAATAATTTTTTGCCTTATATTATTTTAATTTTTTTTAATTTCTCCAAAAAATTGAGAATTTAAAATTTAGAACAAAAATACAATTGTAATATCTAAATAGTTATACACAAGTCTGGTAAGTTACAAAGTGGGGCGCCGAGATAATTTCGAGATTATTAAATGCAATGGAATGTCTACTTGCTGGTTTGCTGCAGCGTCTACTAGAGCACCATCCCTCAAGCACATGCCAATCAGCAGTAGACGATTACCATCAATATACTTTCACAGAGCAATAAGCACAAGTATTCTTTCACATTACACTTACACATGTCCAAGATATATACACGACCTTCTTAGCCGATTAAATATTTCTTTTACTTCATTTTACAGAAAAAATTGTTAATTGACCTTTTCATAAAGAAATTAAACTATGTATTTTGTCTGCGCCTTTAATTTTTTTTATCATATCGTTGTTGCAATAGTTCTCCTTCTAAATATCCAGCGTTGCTAAAAAGATTGTAAAGGTAATGTTCTTCACATCATCACCCCACTTAAATAACTTCCTGGGTAAATTAATAGGTTCCTGCTACGAGGTGGCCGCTTAGTTACCATCTTGTTTGGAGCGTTTTTATTTTACGTGAAAGTATAGTATTTAGTACAGGTTCGATTTGAATTTGAATCCAAAATAATAGAATTCCAAACACCAAATTCAATAAAAGATACCCCCAAAAAGCTAAGGAAGATTTCTTTCCAAAAAATGGAAGAAACTAAATGAAATTGCTTATGCTCCGTTTAAAAATTGGTGTCAAAGAGAAAACGTGAAGATGTTCAACAAGCACATCAAAAGTTACTAATTAGACAACAGAGTATAAAAATATTCCGAACATTAGTTTCATTATGTTTCAATCGTTTTCACAAGTAGCTTCACTATGCGCACGTTTTGTTACTGTTTTGTTACAGCAAAATCAACTCTGCAGTTCGTTTACCGTTGCAGATACGTTTTCTATAACTCTAGAACGAAAATGTTAGATTTTTTAAAATTTGCTAATCTCGCGCTTTTTTAAAATTCATTATTATTTATTTAAAAAAAATACTCATCTTGCAAATATTTGTAGTTACAATGATGGGGATTCTGGAACTCAAGGAAATGTGCGCAGATTATATTCTCCCCCATACGTCACATACAGTTTTTACTGCTTTTTTTACTGAATAAATCTAAATCCTAAAGTTTTTCTAACCGTAGGAGTGTTGATGTAACTGAATATTAGTAATTAATATGTGTTCATTTGAATTTTTTGTTAATAATATTTCAAGTTCATGATATTTATCTTGTTTTCTTGTGCTTATAATGAAAACTCCCTAGGGGCAGAAGTAATGTTTACAAATATTACTTGTGACACGCAGGAGCAAATGACGTACTTCTGTCCCGCTTTGGGTGGCCTAGGGCCGGTTTCACCAACAGCCGAGTAAAGTTGAGAGTAGTTACCCGAGAGTAACCATTTACTCCAAGATAGCAACTCTCGAGTAGAATATGAAGTTTCACCATGCTTCTAAAGGGTTATTTTACTCTAGAGTACACACTCCGATTTACTCCGCAAATCAGCTGAACACACAATATTTGAGAGCGATACAAGAGGCTGTGAGCGAGAATGACGCGGGGAACCAATGCGGACCAACGTGAACCTTTGATTAATTCCTTATATTCTATCATTCATTTCAGTTTCGGAGTTTTTGGCGTTATAATCTGGTGTGGTGTTATGGTGGTTTGAGTTAGCATAGTTTATTTTCTAGTTTCTGTATCTTTATTTCTTAATAAATATTCATTCTTCTTCTCTGGAGACGAGTTACTATTTTGTTAGCAATGCAGAAAAATCAAATTTGCAGTTCGTTTACCGATGGCAATGCAAATAAATTTTC